TACCTGCTTTTTGTAACATAACAATGAGTAAGGTCTTTTACCTGCTTTATGTAACATAACAATGAGTAAGGTCTTTTACCTGTTTTTTGTAACATAACAATGAGTAAGGTCTTTTACCTGCTTTTTGTAACATTACAATGAGTAAGGTCTTTTACCTGCTTTATGTAACATAACAATGAGTAAAATAACAATGAGTAAGGTCTTTTACCTGCTTTTTGTAACATAACAATGAGTAAGGTCTTTTACCTGCTTTTTGTAACATAACAATGAGTAAGGTCTTTTACCTGCTTTATGTAACATAACAATGAGTAAAATAACAATGAGTAAGGTCTTTTACCTGCTTTTTGTAACATAACAATGAGTAAGGTCTTTTACCTGTTTTTTGTAACATTACAATGAGTAAGGTCTTTTACCTGCTTTATGTAACATAACAATGAGTAAAATAACAATGAGTAAGGTCTTTTACCTGCTTTTTGTAACATAACAATGAGTAAGGTCTTTTACCTGCTTTATGTAACATAACAATGAGTAAGGTCTTTTACCTGTTTTTTGTAACATAACAATGAGTAAGGTCTTTTACCTGCTTTTTGTAACATTACAATGAGTAAGGTCTTTTACCTGCTTTATGTAACATAACAATGAGTAAATAACATGAGTAAGGTCTTTTACCTGCTTTTTTGTAACATAACAATGAGTAAGGTCTTTTACCTGCTTTTTGTAACATAACAATGAGTAAAGGTCTTTTACCTGCTTTATGTACATAACAAATGAGTAAGGTCTTTTACCTGTTTTTGTAACATAACAATGAGTAAGGTCTTTTACCTGCTTTATGTAACATAACAATGAGTAAAATAACAATGAGTAAGGTCTTTTACCTGCTTTTTGTAACATAACAATGAGTAAGGTCTTTTACCTGCTTTATGTAACATAACAATGAGTAGGGTCTTTTACCTGTTTTTTGTAACATAACAATGAGTAAGGTCTTTTACCTGCTTTTTGTAAAGTGTCTCGAGATAACACTTGTTATGAGTTGACGCTATACAAATAAAAATTGATTGATTGATTGACTGGATTCCAGTCCAGGGTGTAACCCCACCTCTCAGCAATCACAGCTGGGATTGGCTCCAGCCCCCGTGACCCCGTGCAGGAAAAGCCGTAGAGATAATGAATGGGTGGATAAAGAACGACAAAACTGTGATTAAATCCTGGAGCTCGGAACATCTTTTTAAATGATCTGGATCTTTAATCATTTCAGTGGATAAGATTATTCAAATATCTGCTGGCTCTGCTCTGTGTAAAACACATAACTGTAATCTACCATGAACACAGTCATGAAGTACGAATGGGATGTGTAACATGCAAAACATCTGATAGACGCAGCTCATCACACACATTATAACCAGCACACTCACACGTTATCACAAACAGATGTTTAAATATATTTGAGGAGGAGACAGAAAGTTTGACAACGCAGGAGAAGGGGGATCACAGAAACTCTGCTTCGGTCGCTGTTTGGTCCTGAAAAGTGATTTACTAAATTTAAAGACGACAGTTTTGAAAGATACTCTGTGCACGTTCATCCAGGTCTTGGTAAATCTGAAGCTTGACCCAAAGGCAACTGGACATCTGTGATGGTCAGCTGCCTTTGATTCAAGCTTTGAATTTCATGTGAAATCACTCTGGTCTTTATTATTACGTCTGACATTCACAAATCTTTCTCCATGGAACTTGAACTTGTGTCCCTCTTTCCTCTTCTTCTCTCCTCCATTTATAACACATGTCTCTCAACAGCACGTCCTTCACTGCTCTTCCCCTGCTTCCTCAACTCTCCTCCAACTCGACCCTCGTTGGAGATTGGACATGCCTCCGGTCAAGAATGAGCTTCAGCGTCCTGACTACTCTCTCCGTCGCCCACATCCTCCGCCTCCCCATCTTTATGCGCGTCCTCTTTCTGGGTTACCAAGGCAGGAGACGATGGCGCTCCACCTCCACAGATGCAACAAGTTCCTCTGACCTCTTCACCTATCACGCCATCGCCACGCAGCTATCCTACCACATGGTCCTGCCACCTGGAGCAGAACCAGGTTCCACCTATCCTACCACATGGCCCTGCCACCTGGAGCAGACTCAGGTTCCACCTATCCTACCACATGGCCCTGCCACCTTGAGCAGAACCAGGTTCCACCTATCCTACCACATGGTCCTGCCACCTTGAGCAGACCCAGGTTCCACCTATCCTACCACATGGTCCTGCCACCTGGAGCAGACCCAGGTTCCACCTATCCTACCACATGGCCCTGCCACCTGGAGCAGACCCAGGTTCCACCTATCCTACCACATGGCCCTGCCACCTGGAGCAGACACAGGTTCCACCTATCCTACCACATGGCCCTGCCACCTGGAGCAGACCCAGGTTCCACCTATCCTACCACATGGTCCTGCCACCTGGAGCAGACCCAGGTTCCACCTATCCTACCACATGGCCCTGCCACCTGGAGCAGACACAGGTTCCACCTATCCTACCACATGGCCCTGCCACCTGGAGCAGACCCAGGTTCCACCTATCCTACCACATGGTCCTGCCACCTGGAGCAGACCCAGGTTCCACCTATCCTACCACATGGTCCTGCCACCAGGAGCAGACCCAGGTTCCACCTATCCTACCACATGGTCCTGCCACCTGGAGCAGACCCAGGTTCCACCTATCCTACCACATGGCCCTGCCACCTGGAGCAGACCCAGGTTCCACCTATCCTACCACATGGCCCTGCCACCTTGAGCAGAACCAGGTTCCACCTATCCTACCACATGGCCCTGCCACCTGGAGCAGACCCAGGTTCCACCTATCCTACCACATGGCCCTGCCACCTGGAGCAGACCCAGGTTCCACCTATCCTACCACATGGCCCTGCCACCTGGAGCAGACCCAGGTTCCACCTATCCTACCACATGGCCCTGCCACCTGGAGCAGACCCAGGTTCCACCTATCCTACCACATGGCCCTGCCACCTGGAGCAGACCCAGCAGCTCTCTACAGAAATCAGTCTGTAGAGAGATGGAATAAAAAAAACAGGGGAGGGCAGAAGCTGGGCAAGAAGCCTGATTAGACTTGAGCTCTGCCGGGTCAGGCTGCACGCTCTATCCCCTCCCCCCCCCCTTCTCCACCATTTCCATTAAACAAGACAGATGATACAAAGAGAACAGGGGAGAGCACAGGCTGCTCATCCAGGGTGCAGCACACAGGACTGTTCAGTCATTCGCTCCAGCGTTTTATTTGCATTAAACTTTGAAGTCAGTCTGAACAATCCTGATCTTAAACGTGTATTTAAATGTTCTGGTTTCACAATCATCCAAATGCAGAACATTAGACGTTAACAGGATATTCAAATAGTGGTGCTGCTGGCTCCGTGCTCTGCTCGGCCCAGGGAACAATAAATGTGAACGATGTATTTACACATTGTAATGAACCGTAACAAGAATCATTAAGTATGAATAGGTTTGGGAACATGGTGTCACCTGATCTTCACACACAAATAGTTTAAGTTCAAGTTATCTTTATTAGTCAAATGCACAACAGAACAGGCAAAGCAGTCATAGCTGGCAATGACGTGTTTGTGTTCCAAGCTCTCCTTAACAATGCAAAAATAAAAAAATAGTATAGACGATGAGTAAAAAGAGTAACAACGTACAGTGCAATTAAGAACCAAATATAAATAAACAAATATACAAACAAATACAAACATATACAAACAAATATAATCAACGTATGCACACATGCTTTGATGACAAAAAGATATTCAAATATATCTGGATAAGATACAAGTGAAGAGTGATCAGAATGAAACTCTGCTGAGGTGAGCGTTAGAGAACAATGAAGTGAACCAGCTGTAGCCATGTCTGCACATACACTTCATTTATTATTTTTGTTGTGTTCAGTACAACCTGATATAAGATGTAATGATCTATTTCAATGTCATCATGGTTGTTTGTGTTGCTTTGTACACCTACGGCACAGAGAAGGTGATTCAAACACTGCTGCTGACCCTGCCATCTGAACTCCCTGTTAGATTTGCCTGAGGTAATTTAGCGTAAAGAGCTAACATTAGCATCAACACGCAAACACACCTTAATGGCAGAGACTCATTCTGAGGCGTGAAGCGGTGAGCGGCAGACGGATCGTTTGGAGACGAAGGAGAAGAAGCTGTGCTGTTCTTTTAAATCACAGATTCCTTTAAGATCATTTCCTTATGTTAAATACTTTGGATTCATATTTTTTCCTACACTGGTCTGACTTGTGAAATCATTAGTTGAAGAGAATGTTTTTAATGTTTCTTTGAGGTCTTTTCTGAGAGTTTGATGAAATCTTTTTCTTTTTAGGCCAAGTGTGGTTTTAGGATTTTAATGTTCTATCCCGTCTCTCTTTCCTCCCCGTGTTCCTTTCTCTCTCTGTTTCCTCTTTAAAGCTTCCACAAAGATGTCAGTCAACTCCTTTTTTTAACGGACTCTGAAGCTCCTTCAGTGAGCGACTAGTGATGCCTTAATGTTCCACTGAACGGCTCAGGAGCTCCTTTTGTTCCTGCAGCAGTCTCATATTTTAATGAACATTTTGTGTTTCTGACTCATGGCTGTACATGATTATTCAAATGGTTTGTTTATTATTTATTTACTTGTTGTGTACTGTAGATATTGTTTGTTGTGTGTATGAACTGACCAGGTGATAAATGAGTTTCCCCGATGAGGATCAATAAAGTTTTATAATCTAATAGAAGCGTTGCTGAAGTGACAATAAAGAAGCTGCACACTGCATGTAAATGTACCTGAAATGAGCGTGATCTAGAAACACAGTTAAGCAGTGAGTACAGTATGTTATTCTTCTTTTCTCTAGTCCCTCAATTAAACAACTTTTATACACGAGGGGAGGAGTCAGCCGGCCGTCCAGGCGATGTAAACAAACTGAAGATAGGACTCTGAAAACTCTGAAAACATCACAGACAGTGGGACTCGGGTGTTACACCCATTGTAGACAGTCATGACTCACAGAGTTATTTTTAGAGGATAGACTGGATTTCTACATTTTAAGACTTTAAGTGGAGTAGAACAATCCGACCTTCACAGATCTGATCCTCAAACGGCGCCCGGGTCAGGAGGTCACAGCTTCCTGGGTCAGGTGACTCTTCAGGTGACTCTTCAGACAGTGACTCTGCGTGAAGGCTTTCTCACACAGGGTGCACTTGTACGGTCTCTCCCCGTTGTGCGTCCTCATGTGGACCTTCAGGTAGACTTTGCGAGCGCACGCCTTCCCGCAGATCCCACAAACGAACGGTTTGAGGTCGGAGTGCACCGTCACGTGGTTATCCAGGTGAACTTTACGTTTGAAGGACCAACCGCAGTCGGGGCAGCGGTACGGTGTCTCCCCCGTGTGGACCCTCATGTGGACTGTCAGAGGCCCCTTGGTGGTGAAGCCCTTCCCGCACTCTGCGCAGTGGAAGGGTTTCTCGTTGGTGTGCGTCCTCATGTGGAGCGTCAGCTGTTTGCTGCTCAGGAACATCTTACAGCAGACGTCACAGAGGAACGCTCGCTCTCTCTCCGTGTGGATCTTCTCGTGTTGTCTCAGCGTCCCCGCCAGTTTGAAGCTCCGCCCACATGTCTCACAGCTGTGCGGCCTCTCCCCGGTGTGCGTCATCTTATGGCGTGATAACGACCTGTAGTCACTGAGCGACTTCCCGCACACGCCGCAGAGATGAGTGTGCGTGACGCGGTGAGCGTTCAGCTGCGACCTCGCCTCGAACACTTTATTACACGTGTGACATTTATGCGTCTTTCTGGCTTCGTGGCGTTTCTTGTGATTCTCAAGCGTCGCCTTCAACGCGAACGTCTCGGGGCAGACGTCACACTCGTACGTTTTCTCCCCCGAGTGCGCCGCCACGTGCTCATTCAGGCCGAGGACGCTTAAAAACGACTCGCCGCAGACGTGGCAGTCCGCTGTTTTGTGGCGAGTCAGAAGGTGTTCGTTCAGCGCCGCCTCAGACGGGAAACGTTCTCCACAAACGCCACAGAGACTCCTCGGATCGTCCACGTGACTCCAGGCATGTTTGACGAGCGCCGCTTCTGATTTCTGCAAAACGCTGCACACTTTACACGTGCGCTTTTTCTCCGTCGCCTTGAAGCGTCGCACTCTTTGTTTCTTGGTCGTCTTCGGCTGCAGCTCAGCGTCGCTCTCTTTCACCTCCTCCTCGCCCTCGTCTGGTTTCCACTCCTCCTCGCCGCTGTCACCGGGCGCTCTTTGTTCCTCGGTCTCTTCCTCTTTACTGTTTTCAGCTGAGCACGCTCCAAAGTCCTCGTAGAGTTCTGGGATGAACTCTCGACCGTCATCGTTGGCGTGCTCTGTGTCCACGTCTTGTTGGTGCGACATCGAGCTGCACGACGCCTCCGCTCCGCTGGCGTCGACCTCCTGACCAGCGCCGCTGAGGGAAACACGAGAAACAGTTCAGAGGGTGTCCACTGCACAGCTCCTACATGTCATGTTTTTTATATCTGACATGTTTAAATTCTATTTTATATATTGTAATATCTTCTTCTGTATTATTTAAGTTGTTGTTAGTTCTGTTTTATTTCCTTGTTAATTGTTTAGCACCAATACACCAAGTCAGATTCCTTTATCTGTAAATGTACTTGGCAATAAACCCAGATTCTGATTCTGATCCTGATTCTGATCCTGATTCTGATTCTGATTCTGATTCACACATGCACCACCCCCTCCCACTGGCTCCTCCCACTGGCCCCTCCCACTGGCTCCTCCCACTGGCTCCAGGTGAATTCTCCTGATTATATCCTGCTGTGTTCTCACATCAGCTCACTCTGACTTTCTGCAGAATAAATACGAGGAGGCTGGAGGAGAAACTCAGAGTGAAGAGAGAAACATTCAGATGTTTGAGTGATCACATGACGCTCAGAGTGAAGAGAGAAACATTCAGATGTTTGAGTGATCACATGACGCTCAGAGTGAAGAGAGAAACATTCAGATGTTTGTGTTCCTTATTATTATTATAATAATAATAATAACAGTTGATAATAATATTAATAAAATATAATAATAATAATAATATAATAATAATAATAATAACAGTTGATAATAATATTACTAAAATATAATAATATAATTATAATAATATAATTATAATAATAATAATAATAATAATAATAATAATAACAGTTACCTGGTTTTATCACACGTCAACACAGCGTCTTCAGAGTCTCTGTTTTCTTGGAGAGGACAGATGTCCTCGTTGTCCTGAGGTTCATTTTGTGTCTGGAAAAATAAAGAAGTCAATCTGGGGTTCAAAACCTGATCTGTAGACATCCAATCAGAATGCTTCTGGTCTGATCATGGTCGTTACCTTGAGGCGGATGAAGAGCGGCAGTGTCTTGGACTCTGTGCAGCTCGAGTGTCCGTCCATCTGTTCTGACGTCACTCTCTTCAGTCTTCTCCTCTTATCACAGGTCAAGATGTCAAAACGTTTGTCTTCTCCACTCAGCTGAGGGAAAGTGGACCTCAGCAGGTCCACCAGGTCCTCCTCCTTCAGACCTCGAGGACACGTCAGCTTCAGCAGAGGACACTTCTTCAGAGCTGAGGAAAGACGAGCGTCAGGACAGGAAGAAGAAAAACTTTAGAAACTGACTCCCTGACGTCTGCTGGCTCTGACTCGGCCTGGTTCTGGTTCTGGCTCTGCCTGGCTCTGACTCTGCCTGGTTCTAGTTATGGCTCTGACTCTGCCTCTGACTCTGCCTGGTTCTGGTTCTGACTCTGTCTGGTTCTGGCTCTGACTCTGCCTGCCTGGTTCTGGTTCTGACTCTGCCTGCCTGGTTCTGACTCTGCCAGCCTGGCTCTGGTTCTGGCTCTGTCTGGTTCTGGCTCTGACTCTGCCTGGTTCTGGTTCTGACTCTGCCTGCCTGGTTCTGTTTCTGGCTCTGACTCTGCCTGGTTCTGGCTCTGACTCTGCCTGGTTCTGGTTCTGACTCTGCCTGGTTCTGGTTCTGACTCTGTCTGGTTCTGGTTCTGGCTCTGACTCTGCCTGGTTCTGGTTCTGGCTCTGTCTGGTTCTGGCTCTGACTCTGCCTGGTTCTGGTTCTGACTCTGCCTGCCTGGTTCTGGTTCTGGCTCTGTCTGGTTCTGGCTCTGACTCTGCCTGGTTCTGGCTCTGGCTCTGGCTGGTTCTGGCTCTGACTCTGCCTGGTTCTGGTTCTGACTCTGCCTGCCTGGTTCTGGTTCTGGCTCTGCCTGGTTCTGGTTCTGACTCTGCCTGCCTGGTTCTGGTTCTGGCTCTGACTCTGCCTGGTTCTGGTTCTGACTCTGCCTGCCTGGTTCTGGTTCTGACTCTGTCTGGTTCTGGCTCTGACTCTGCCTGGTTCTGGTTCTGACTCTGTCTGGTTCTGGCTCTGACTCTGCCTGGTTCTGGTTCTGACTCTGTCTGGTTCTGGTTCTGGCTCTGACTCTGCCTGGTTCTGGCTCTGGCTCTGTCTGGTTCTGGCTCTGACTCTGCCTGGTTCTGGTTCTCACTCTGCCTGCCTGGTTCTGGCTCTGACTCTGCCTGGTTCTGGTTCTGGCTCTGGCTCTGCCTGGTTCTGGTTCTGACTCTGCCTGCCTGGTTCTGGTTCTGGCTCTGGCTCTGACTCTGCCTGGTTCTGGTTCTGACTCTGCCTGCCTGGTTCTGGTTCTGGCTCTGACTCTGCCTGGTTCTGGTTCTGGTTCTGACTCTGTCTGGTTCTGGCTCTGCCTGGTTCTGGTTCTGACTCTGCCTGGTTCTGGTTCTGGTTCTGACTCTGTCTGGTTCTGACTCTGCCTGGTTCTGGTTCTGACTCTGCCTGCCTGGTTCTGGTTCTGGTTCTGACTCTGTCTGGTTCTGGCTCTGACACTTACCACTGTTTGAGAGCACATGGGTCTTGGGGTCCTCCAAGATCCGGATCCTCAGGTCTACATGGTTCTGGGGTCTGCTGGGCCCCCTCTTGTTAGACTGACCTCTGACAGAACCGGACCTGAAAGAGGTCTGCAGGTTAGTGGACTCGTATGAACTTTAGAGATCTGCTTTAAACTTCATAGTCTCACCCTGATGGACTCTGAGAAGTCCAGTCTTCTTCATCAGACCCGGTTCTCCTGCTGCGCTTCACATCTGGACAAAAAACGTTTCCTCTTTAAATCTGTGTGTGTGTGTGTGTGTGTGTGTGTGTGTGTGTGTGTGTCTGTGTGTGTGTATCTGTGTGTGTGTGTGTGTCTGTGTGTGTGTGTGTGTGTGTGTGTGTGTGTGTGTGTGTGTGTGTGTGTGTGTCTGTGTGTGTGTGTGTGTGTGTGTGTGTGTGTGTGTGTGTGTCTGTGTGTGTGTGTGTGTGTGTGTGTCTCTATGTGTCTCTATGTGTGTGTGTGTGTCTGTGTGTCTGTGTGTGTGTGTGTGTGTGTGTGTTTGTGTGTGTGTCTCTGTGTGTGTGTGTGTCTGTGTGTGTGTGTGTGTGTGTGTCTGTCTGTGTGTGTGTGTGTGTGTGTGTGTCTCTGTGTGTGTGTGTGTGTCTGTGTGTGTGTGTCTCTGTGTCTCTGTGTGTGTCTGTGTGTCTGTGTGTGTGTGTCTGTGTGTGTGTGTGTGTGTGTCTCTGTGTGTGTGTGTGTGTGTGTGTGTGTGTGTGTCTGTGTGTGTGTGTGTGTGTGTGTGTGTCTGTGTGTGTGTGTCTCTGTGTGTGTGTGTGTGTGTGTGTGTGTGTGTGTGTGTCTGTGTGTGTGTGTGTGTGTCTGTGTGTGTGTCTCTGTGTGTGTCTGTGTGTCTCTGTGTGTGTGTCTCTGTGTGTGTCTCTGTGTGTGTGTGTGTGTGTGTGTGCTCAGTTTCATTAAAACAGAATTATCGTCACAATGACGTCACAGATATGTTTCTAATAATGAACTTTAACACGAGTTTAAATGAAATGACGTCATATTCAAACGGAGTTCTGCACTGTGTTATCAGCAGTGTTAAGGGGGGTCTAGACTCAGACTAGTGACCTGCTTTGTGCAGAGAGACCCGGGTCTGCGGAGAGACCCGGGGCGGCTGCGGAGAGACCCGGGGCAGCCCCGGGGCGGCTGCGGAGAGACCCGGGGCGGCTGCGGAGAGACCCGGGGCGGCTGCGGAGAGACCCGGGGCGGCTGCGGAGAGACCCGGGGCGGCTGCGGAGAGACCCGGGGCTGCAGGAGGACCTCCAGCTGCTTCCTCTGCCGGTCGATCTCCAGTCTGAAGCCCGACGCCTCCTCCTCATATTCGGCTACGATTCTGTCGACCACCGCGGAGATCTCGCGGGAAGCAGCGGCGAGCCTGTCGGTCACGAACCCCCTCAGAGAGTCTCCTTTCGACATGTTCCACACAGAGACCCTCCTCACATTACAAAACACTCTTTAAAGACATTAAACCCCGGGTTGTTTAGCTAACGCCTGAGTGCATCCATAAATACAGTCCGACTGGAAACTGAGACCCGACACGACAGTTCCCTTTTTTCAATTCCTCCTCGAGTGAATCAGAATCAGATTTATTGATCAGGTATGCTCACAGGTGAACTGTGCTCTCTTATGAACAGGTACAACATTAAACATCAACAATAAACAGAATAAGAAAAGACTAATATTTACAGAAACATGAAACAGTGTAAAAGATGCTGAAGTAACATGATGAGTAAAATGAAGTCCATTACAGTGTTTACATCAGTAAGTGTGCGTGTATCGATCCTTTAAATAATATATACATACATGTATAATCACAGTGATGTGTGTTTTAAATCTGCCCACACCATGCACTCATTACCCAGGGAGGGGGGGTCTTCCACCAGCTGCAGATGGAGACCTGAAGACCTGAAGACCTGAAGATCTGAAGACCTGAAGACCTGAAGACCTGAAGACCTGAAGATCTGAAGATCTGAAGACCTGAAGATCTGAAGACCTGAAGACCTGAAGACCTGAAGACCTGAAGATCTGAAGACCTGAAGATCTGAAGACCTGAAGACCTGAAGATCTGAAGACCTGAAGATCTGAAGACCTGAAGATCTGAAGACCTGAAGACCTGAAGATCTGAAGACCTGAAGATCTGAAGACCTGAAGACCTGAAGACCTGAAGACCTGAAGATCTGAAGACCTGAAGACCTGAAGACCTGAAGACCTGAAGATCTGAAGACCTGAAGACCTGAAGACCTGAAGACCTGAAGATCTGAAGACCTGAAGACCTGAAAATCTGAAGACCTGAAGACCTGAAGACCTGAAGATCTGAAGACCTGAAGACCTGAAGACCTGAAGACCTGAAGACCTGAAGACCTGAAGACCTGAAGATCTGAAGATCTGAAGACCTTCAACAGAAGATGAAGGAGGTTTAAAATGTTTACTTTGATGATTACTATATGTTCTTCTTTCCCATCCTAGAGTCCAGCATTTCAAACCCCAGGTTGGTAAATATAAGAATGATATAAAGACAGGATGTGATGATAGTTTGTATTGCAGTTACAGAGTGTGAACACAAGGGGGAGCCGCTGCACAGGAGCAGCATACACATTATACAGATCAGACTTTTTATCTAACATTTAAAAAATGTTTTTACTGATAAGGTTTGGACACTTGAATATATTTTTATAGAGCCTCAGTGATTAAAACAACGTACATGTTCTATATCTGTGTTTAACTTCTGAATCAATCATTTAGTAAAGTTAACGTGGATTACAGTCAGGACGAATCAGAATGAGTCTCTTTGAAAACAAGTTTCTCTCTGAACGCTGCAGATCTTCAGGATTCTTTTTCTTCTTTGTTTCTCTCTCTTTCTATTTTAACCGGCATG